GGCCGGCCTCCCCCGTGCCCTCTCCCCCGCCAGCCCGCAGGGGCTCTTTTCCTTTCCCGCCAGCTTTTGCTGCCTGTCGCTTTACCACGGGGCGTGTGGTACCCCAGCACACCAGCTAATACCCGTTTTCTTGCAGGTAACGTTTCGGACAAGAATCTACCACTGTAATATTAACAGCCAAGGCGTCATCTGCCTGGACATTTTAAAAGACAACTGGAGCCCAGCATTAACCATTTCTAAAGTTCTTCTCTCCATCTGCTCCCTCCTCACAGACTGCAACCCGGGTAAGTTCCCTGTGTTACCACGCAGGCCGCCCACCACCTTGCACGCACACACCCTCACAACACCCCCCACCCCCACCCCCCGCACCCAAATAACGTGGCCCTCATCTCATCTTGTCCCGTTGGCTTTGACCAGCATGGCTCTGGCCTCCAGCACAGCACACTTCCCTCTCCAGGGCAGCTGGAGAGGGGATGGAGGTGGTGGAGGTGATACACCCTACCTGCCCGCTCTTCACCGCTCCTCAGGCTGACCCGCGAGGAAAGCGGCCGTCTTCCTCCTGCACACGAAAACTCCCTCCCCTTCCAGACTAACTCTGGGTTTGGGTAAGGATTAAACACTCTTTGCTGGTCTGTAGGACTGCAGTAATTCAGTAACAGAGCTAGAAGAGCCACACACACAGTTCTGAAAACAAGGGGATTAGCCTTTTACTTTCCTTCATCCACTTAAAACCAGTGACCAACTATGCCACAAGTAGCCCTTGCTGCTTCTCTAACCCACCTGTTATCCACACCAGTTAAGAGGAATATGTCTTTGTTTCCAAAGTCAGTTTTGCAGGTTGTATTTCAATATGTGTCTGAAGATGAGAGAAACACCAGATTTCACACTGTATTATGTATAATAAAAATAAACGTTGGAAAAGTAAAACCTCCTCTTGAGATCTCATTTTCCTAGAAGGCAGATTGGTACTGATACAATTACACTTAGCAATGAGTATGTCCCGGGCTCTTTTAGAAGGGGTAAAATAAACCGGAAATGTGTGAATCAGTGTAAGTCCTCAGTAATGCAAAATATGACCATTGGATTGTTGTCTTTTAAACTCCTTAAAACTTTAATTGGCATTTTGCTCTTTATTAAGTAATACATTAGTACATCACCATAAATACACACAAATCAGTGAAGATACAGACCATCACACCAGTATATTTAAATTGTTGCAATGTACCTTACCTGTGTGGTTCCCTTGCATTAAATTCACCCTTCAGCTTTATTTTTAAGATTTGGTAACTTGTCTGAAATAAGTGGTTTGTTTTCTTTTCAGCTGACCCCCTGGTTGGAAGTATTGCCACTCAGTATATGACTAACAGAGCAGAGCATGACAGAATGGCCAGACAATGGACCAAAAGATACGCTACATAAATCAGATTTTCGTCAAACTCTTACGTTATTCGTCTGTGATGGAAAGAGCTGCTTATGATTTTGAAGGGGTGGGGGGAGGGAGGGTGCTGGTAAAGAGTAGGGTATTTCTATAACAGATTTTATTCAGTCTTTTATTTCCTAAGATTTTGTTGTTGTAACTTAAGGTATCTTGCTACAGTAGACAGCTAGGATTGGGAATAGCATATTTTAAGACTGTAATTAGTTCAGCAATATTAGCTCACATATAGTCTTGAGAAGAATGTAAACTTCTTAGACTTCTTTGGTTTTCAGTTTGCTTGCAATATGTAAAAGATTAAAACAGCTTCATTTTGTACAGGTACATATGTGGACATTTATGTAAAAGTCCTTTCAAGACTCTACACACTGTCTTTGCTTTTTGTTTTGTTTTGGGGTTGGGGGGTTTATTTTGTTTTGGGTTGGGGTTTTTTGGGGTTTTTTTTTGTGGTTTGTTTTTTTTTTTTTTTTTGTAAAAAGATGTTGGGATTGTTTTCCCCTATGGAGGGCACATTGGTATTTAACAAATCCTTTTTAAAGACTGTCATCTCATGATCTGTGATACGGAGAGGTGGATATATGGCCTCATATATGAAACGAGAAGTAGTTAATGTATTATTTTATAAGCCAATCTATCTTTGTGAAAAGAATAAAGGATTTAATCGGGACTTATGGTAACCTGTAGTGAAATACCTTAAGCTGTTTAACTGTAAGGCGTGGAATAGGAGTCACTCAGTGGATTGGTTGTATGTTGTGGGCTACTCAAGTCTGCATTTGTTACTGTGCTAATAAAAAGATGTTTAAAAAAAAGAAGAAGAAAAGATTTCTCCTTCATGCCTTGCTTTGTCATTTTGCCAGAGCAGTGTCTCCCAGTGCGCTTTGAGGATTACAGTATGGATGAGGACCAGGCAGATCTGCAGGTGAGTGTGCTGACTGCTGCTATTTTGGGAAGACACTTCTAGACAAGCATACAACGAACAACAGCATAAGACTTTTTCAACTGTTTACTGTGTACGTGTTGCCAGGCAGGCACGGCCCATGAAGAGGTTAACCTGCCACAGGGTCTGTGCTAGTTACTTTTTAGCTCAAGTTTTCACAGCATTGGCTTTTCAGGACTGGCACATTATTTGAAAATACAACCGGAAAAGTGTAAGAGATCTGGAGGGGAAACAAGCAGGAAGTAAAAGGAAGAAGAGAATATCTTCATGGTTTTCTGATGGAGTGGTCTGTTCCCACTTGGAAGAGGAGAAGGCATCATGTCCTGGTAAGCTAGCAGAAGACACTATAAAGGAGACTTAATCTGTAGATCCTTTAACTACCTACAAAGATCATCTCCTAGAGACATGGTGTTTACATTGAGGTGTGTAGCAACAGGGCAGTTAGTTGTGGATATGGCATTTTTGACCACTCCCTTAAGGTAAAGGCCGGAAGTACAGATTCATTTTCACATGGCAAGTACTTCACCTTCCAACATTCTTCTTAGTGCTCTGTGGTCATCTGCGTGCTCAGATTTGTTTTGGTGCTTTAAAATAAATTCTGTGTACATTTTATTTATATACTTCTCTTCCTATCTGTATATATATAGATCAAATCTTACATGGGCCAAAGTAATTGTTAATTAGAGGTACCCTTCCTTTGCTGGCTGGTTGTGCGTAGTAGTACATTAACTTCACCTGAACTGCTTTCTTTTGACACAATGTATGTTTTGGTGTATGAGCTCCCTCAGCTGTTTGGCTCAGCCTTGGAAAATTATTGGTATATAGCTACATCACACCAGAAGCATCTCTGGTAATTGTTTCCTCCTCTCCTTTACTGAGTGAGGAGGTAAATGGCTTAATCTCAGTAGGTTTTTGTCGGCCCCTTGCTTGATGCTACCAGGGCATGCCAAATTAACTGTTGCAGCTAGCAGGGGGAAGGGAGCTGATTTGGGGTGACTGATCTGCACCGTGTTTATTCAGCACGATAGAAGTTTAAGAGGAACAGGGAATGATGGTTCAATTTACTAATTTATTTTTCTTTTTTATAATAACGTTTCTCCATTATATTTTGAAGGGACTGTCTAGCTTTCTAGGAGGTAAGTGATCCCAGTGACCTAGGACAGGTTTTGAGTCAGTGGAATAGTAAGAACAAAATACACATTCTGCCCTTTAGCTACTACATTATACTGTGTGCTTTACTTATTAACCCTGTGTAAAACTGTGCTACAGTGAGTTTCATTTTTACTCAATATCAGCCACTACGCATAGATTGATTGCAGAGGAGACACTATGTTTTTCCATCACTTCTCAGTAAAATACTATGGTATCTAGAAAAGACAATTTGAATGCTTAACAAGCATCAGAATAAGCTTATGAAAGAAAACAGTGGGTAAAGGTTATTTATGTGAATACCCAAAATAATCTAAACTCATTTCTAATGAATTTAACCAAATCAAAGAAGGTGTTTGCCTTTAGGTAACCTATTTGGAAAAACAGCCTTAGTAATTCAGAAGATCCTTTTTCCTCTTGCCTTTCTTAAAACGCCAAGTCCTGAGCATTGAGGGGAGCAAGCTCATCTCTCACAGTGTGGCTCTGGCAGCCTACAGGTGACATCAGTCTTGGCAGTGGAATTCGCACCAAGTCTGCAGGGTGCAGAACTGGACGAGAACCAAGCATCTCCGTTCCTTCCGTCTCCACACATTTTGAGTTAATTCTGACTTGTCAACCTGCACTGCCTTAGCTCTAAGGTCAGCTTCAGTGATGATGTGCAGTTAGCAGAGGTCTTCGCTTATTTTGATTGATGCAAAGCTGAATCAAGGCTGTTCTAGAAGAAGGGTTCTGCAGAACTGAAGAGGAGGAACATCACCAATTCCTTGGTGAGAGGTTGCAGCAAGGAGGTGAACCGCTTCTGCTCTGAAGTCACTCCCACTTCCCAAGCACACAGGCAGATGTGGATGGAGTCTTCTGGGGAGGGAGAAGCCTTGTGTACACGTGCCTTCAGTAGGAAATGAGTGAGGAGGGAGTGTTGTTCCGCAGCATCGCTGGGGACCATGACTCTTGCTAGCCAGGTCAGGGGAGGTCATGCTATAGTGCTTACTCAGCTGCAGTGTTGCAATGAAAACAATTGTATGTTTCTAGCAGGGCATTACAAGAGCTTGCTCATTCATAATTGCTCTCTTATCTTACTCCTTGGCCACGGTAATCCAAACTATATTGAGCAAAGCACATAAACAGTTTCGTCTGCCTTCATTATAAAGGTAGGAATACCTGCTTAATTTTTAGTGAATTGTACTGCTGCTCTGACGTTAATAATGCTGACGGACTTTATTTGTCAGTATTCAGGAAGAGCAATGCTATAAGCACACAGTTTAATTGTGATCATTAAGCACACTTACTATTTAGCAGTTATGATATGACAGTGCAAATATTGCTTGTGGTTTTGCTGACTCACAGTGAAATTCTCAACATTTGTTCAAAACAACATTAATTTAGTGGAAAATGAGGGAACTGAGTACTTCACTCTCTCTCCCCACTCTTGTCCTCAAATATAAAGAAAAGCTAGTAGCAATTAGTGTAAGAGGTTGTTAAAGGCCAAGAGCTGGCCACTCTCTGGGAACAGTTGCTCATTCTGCCCCTCTATATCCAATTTTGTTTAGTTTACTGACAGGCTGACCTAGGACAGCAGATTCCTATAGCATGGGTTTACCGGCATGGAGTCAAACACAGCACATACAGCTGTGCTCCTGCTGCTGGACAGTGTGCGGCATATTAAGACCAAGGCCATTTTTACAGGTATTTCTGGGTGTTTGCCATGGGGATGTTCCCAAAAGGCAGCATCCTATGCTCCCTAGCCCACTCTCTCCCCTCCAGCTTGGCTGAATGGCTGGGTAGGGACATTATGCAATGCACTATGCAGAGCCTGGGCAGTACCTCCTGCATACAAAACTAATCTGTGTAATTTCTCAGTAAAATTATCACCTGTGTGAATGTGACTGATTTGTACTGGACATGCTGGAACAAAACCAGGTACAGCTATGTTGTCCTTCAGGTCGCAGTTAAATTAATGAGTGCTCTGAGTGCTTTTCTGGTTTGTACAAATAAATTCCTGAGTGGAAAGCACTACCTGCCAGACTGCTGACGTTTCATGTTGGGATAGATCTGTTCTAGTATTTCCCACAAGATTTGGTTGGGTTTTTTGTTTTGTTGTTTGGTTGTTTTGGTTTTTTTTCCTTCCAGATGCTAGCAGAACTTCAGCGCTAAATCTGCTGGTGGTTGTTCCTCTTGCCCCAAACCCTTCTCCTGCAACACACTGACCTCAGCCTCCTGCAGCATCAAAATGTCCTGTGGCCTGGTTTAAGGTCCAGGTAAAATGACTGTTGCTATTTCAAACATATCCTCCCTCCAAATTGAATGCGTTATTGCAGCTAGTACTATTTGTGACTAGAGGCTATAGATCTGCAGGGGGATTTTTTAATACAGGCTTGTTGATTTGTCCCTCAACATGGCTGTATCCAGGCATACTCAAAGCCCCTACTAGAGAGGTGTGCCCCTGTCCTCTCCTCTATAACCCTTGTTGCAAGACGACAACTCTCCTAAGTGCGTTTTAAGGCTTTTCCCACCAGTGACTTTCAAGCTAAGTCCGTGAGAAGGGAGGATACCTCTTGGCCATAAGCTTGCTGATTTTATTGCTGAATGAGATTATTGCTTTAAGTGGAACTGTGAGAAGCAAATGGCACAGAAAGGACTTAGGCTGTGACTCGGTAGCAGCAGACAATGCTAAGGTAGCTTAGTTATCACAGTTATTCCCTTTGCTCTTCCTTCCAGGCAAGGGAAATGTTGATTTGTTCTGGGACTGGGAGAGTTTGCTGGCTAAGAAGGTGAAGGGCTCAAGCAGTGTTTTCCGATCTGTCACAGTCACTTCCCACAGTCTCACTTTCTCAGCCCTTGCCCATTGCTGGGCTGCTTCTGTTTCCACTTGCCTTTGGTCCAGGAGGTCAGTTTTGTTTCCCAAGACAATAACTGTTACCTACAAACAAAAAAAAAGGGTGAGCTTTATCCAAAAATCATTCACCATTCACAGTGCTTTTAAAGAGCAGGCAAGTAGCAACACAGTTCAAACCTGTTCTTTAATTTAGCACTGGCACAAGGTAAGCTGTGTGTAGTTTGGGAGATCAGGGTCTGGAATTTGATTTGGCCTCATCTACTTGTGGGCTGGGAGCTGGTTTGAATCATAGGATATGCAGGACTTTCCCCTTCTCCCTCCAACTGCTTAAAGGGAAATGACACCCAAGAGAGCCAAAGTTAAACAGCCCTATTCTCCATTTACTTGGCAATTGAGCTGCCCTAGACAAATGGTAAGAGCACGACATCCAAGTAGGTCAGAGCAGCGGATGCTTGGGAGATGAAAAAGTGCATGGCAACAGAGAAAGCCAGGACCCCACAACTGTGGGTTTTGCCCAGCTTGTTTTTTCCCAAGCCCCAGCCCACAATACAAACAAGGCCAACCCCACCAGAAGGCTGCCAGAAGGCTGCTGGGCCCCGCTCCCAGGCTGGCTCCCCACGCACGGTGAGCCTCTAGAGGGACCTCCGGGGACATCCCTCTGCCACTGACAGGGACAGGTGATCACCCCAGCACCATCATCTCATAAGCACTTTCAAGAGCAGCTGGTTAGCTAACGAGAGCAGCACAGCAGTATCAAGCCAGACCCCGAGTTGTAAGGATTCATCAAGTGACTTTGGTCTCACCGAGACAGTACAGTGTGGCTGAGTTTGGTGGCCTGCCCCGTGCTTCAGTTCTGGGAGGTGCTGAAGGTAGTGCTGGCCTCTTAAAGGTACTGCTCCTGCTTATTTTAAGATAACCATTTTCTAAAAATGTTTTAGCAGCATCAGCTCTTAGGGAAATGATGCCTATGTTTATAGTTTAAGGTCCTTAGTCAAACTCTGGTCTCCTCTCTACACTCCTGGTTTGATCAAGTGATGAAGCCTTCTCTTGCTGATGATTTGGGGTATTTGCTGTGTCCACACCTGCTTGCTCTTTCCTGTTCATCGGGCTAACTCCAGGATGTCTTCTGATTCTTTCCAGCTAGAGATGTTTGTCCTGTTCCTGTGAGATCTGAGACTTCCTTTCTTCTCTATAGCAGCCCAGGGTGTTTGGAAAAATGTTTTTTCCCTCTGCAAAGGCTTTGAAATAAGCCCTAATGTTCATATGCATTTACCACATCCTTCTACTGACTTTTACCTATGGTTAAGCTCTGTCAGTACAAGAGAACACAACCTTTATTTAGTACAAAATTTGGCCAGACTTTAAGGTGCGTGCTGGAGAGCCCCCATAGCCAGCAGAGGCATCAGTGCTTTCTGTCATCTGCCACACAACAGGGGACTGTGCCACTCAACAAGGTGAAGTTCTGCCAGCTCAAAAGGACCACATGTGGAGATATATCCCTAATTCAGCTAAGGATGCATTCTAGCAGAGCCCAGAAGTGCACTGACACTATCTTAAGGTAGGACTCCTGATCTCACCTTCTGTACTTCAAAGCCTATTTTATATGGACTAGAAATCACAGGAAGAAAACAAATTTATTGTGGGCACCATTCTTTCAATTATGTTATCCTCAGTCAAGATCACAACTTTAAGCTCTCCCAGAGGATAAGCACATGGGCTGTTTTCTAAAATACCTGCATGCAACAAGAGAGAAGAGTTCCGGCAGGTAACACAGAAGAGAGGGATGCAGATCCTGCTGGGGCTGCGACTCCCTCTCTGCGTTACAACACGCTGTAAAGTAACAAATCAGGGCCCTCGCAAAACACAGCGCCTGGGAAAAGTTTCCTGCTTGTCTACCTTTTCTTGCCCTGCAGGGGAGTTATGATTGTCTCCCATATCCCTGATATACGTGACAGTCTGCAGCTCACACCAGCCCTACCAGCTAACATACCTCTCCTGTGACTGCACGTTTGGCTGCTGTCAAACTTGGAGCCTGCTGTCCTCTACCACCCTGTGTGCTGTCAGTACTAAACAAGTTACATTTTTGGAAAGTCTCTCCCCACCATTACCCAATTAATTCTTCATGCACTTTTTTTTTTAACAGCATAAAACAGACATTTGGAAAGCTGTAGGCTAAAGACATTTCACGGGGAAAAAACTACTTGAGAATATAAAGATACTGTAGGAAAAGCCATAATGCTAATGCCACATGCAAGTTATATTTGTTTAGCTAAGCTGGAACACTGTCAGCTGAAAACACTAGCTGCTTTCTAAGGGAAAATAGAGCAGTCATTTCACACAATTGAATTGATTCAATATGGTTGTTAAAATACATTAAAGCTGCTTTGCCAATTGACTAATGTCTGGGAGACCCATTGTCAATTACACTAGTTTGTAAGCCATCAAGTACATGAATACAAAACAAACAAAGATAATGCCCTTTGTTATATTATTCTATGCACTTGACTTCCTGTGTACAATATCTAAAAAAACATGTGAACTGCACTACTGTACACCATATGTTTTATTAGTCGTAAGTGTCCTGGCTGGTGCGTTCAGCTAACTGAACTTTAGCTGTAGTAGAGGAAGAAAGGAGGCACACAAACCCCCACATTCTTTTGCATGACCTGCATGGCATGTGTATTAGGCTTCCCCAGCATGTGAAAGCTTCCTTTTGATGGATTGCCCAAGGCTCTGGGTACGTTTGTTTTCCTTTGTTTGTAAGTTTTATGGAAACAAAATCTATGCTTTGCAACCTTAACTTCCTATCACTGACACAGCAATAAGACAAGCAGTTAAGGAATCGTGCATTTACCTCCTTTTTGTCTCTAAAGACATCGATCTCCTTTTTGAGCAGTTCGACTCTTTGGAAAGCTTCGAGGCTGGTCACGGCATACACGAGAACAAAGCCATCAGCGACCGAGAAATAGTGTTTTGGCAATTCTACCCCCTCCTGCAGACCCCTGGTGTCATAAAGCCGCAACTGCTCCTTCACACCTCTGTCTGTCTCGACCGATGCCAAATACACATCCTCCATTGTGGCGCCCTCTTCTAAGCCTGTTTTAAAACAAGCAGGAAAGATCAACTGGTGTAAGTACAGCACTGCTGTAAGAATTATTTGCAGCACAGCAGAATTTTACCTCACAATAGCTTTCAGTGCATGTTTTCCAGCGTGACTTGACCTGGACTCAACCTTGCCTGGGCATCCTTATGAAGGGCTGTATTCATAGATCACCACACTAGCTATTTACAATAGCAACACTGCGTAAATACAACCGTCTAACATATGAGCATGATTATGCTTTTAAAATTAATCTATACAACATGCACACTCAGGATAGGATAATATATACAGCTCTTCCCCCTGGTTTCCCAAACTCCAACCACCCAGTGTACCAGTTCTGTGCCAAACATGCTGCAAACAGGCCTGCCCAAACATACCCTTTTGGAAGAACAGCCAAGGAACACCAGATAGTCAAGTACTAACATTTTGAGCCTACTTCTTTGCTTCATACTGAGCTGGATGATCTGGCAGAAGCAGGAGCCAAAGGAATAATTCTGGAAATGGATGTGTATTGGTGGTACAACTAACCAACAAGTGCAATCAAGCCAGAAAGGGAAGGGGATGTTTGCGTGCAAGCAAAGTTGCATGCTGTATTTACTTAAACACATAGTGAGCTTTTTCCATCCCTTAGGGATTTAAAATTACTCAGATTTGCTAACAGGAGCAAGCTCATTTACTGTAAGGTACGAGCGTGCACAAGGTAATGAGCTTTCATATATATATCACCTGCTCCATGGTAACTATCTGCATACTGGCTCTCCTTCCTTCCTCTCCCCATGGTAAATGTGAGGTAATTCAAGGCAGCTTACTTTGAACTAATTAAAACAATCTTTTCAAAGCCAAATCTGAAAACACACAGATCACCTTAGCTTTGTCTGTCCCCTGGATGCAGGTGCATAATGTTACAGGTCCGAACAAACTATGTACAGTGTAGCTGGGCTACGTTCAGAGTCAGTTTTAAGTATTCACGTAAAACCTCTGCAATCCACGTTTTTGCCTCCACTGCACTCCTATATGCATGAACTGTTTGCTGTTGCAGGGCTACAATAATGGGTCCTGCATTATTCTCTTTGTCTGCCAAAAAGGGACCATATTACAGCATTGTTTAAGAAAACGCGAGGGATTATCTGGCCTGTGAAAATAAGGATTTTGCTATATTCAATGACACTATTCAAAATACTTCACATTGACAAACAAGCTAAAGCATTCCACCCACGCCGATGGTTTCCCATGATGTATGCAGCATTCCTGCAAAGGAAAGTGGCACAAGCTGTTCTTTTTGCCCCTCTCTGTGCAGTCTTCATAGATCAAACTCTTATTAGGTTTGCAACAAATTAATTTATCTCGCCTCCAAATATAGCCATGCTAACGTGCACGAGCAAGACTAAGAGCAGAAGGACAAAACAAAGGTGAAGGAAAAGAGGAAGCATGAATGTATTCTGTGTGGTTGGAGAATGTGTTACAAGGGCATTTTTAAAGACTGAAGTAGGTAACAGAGCCTTTTCTGGATATAGCACTGTATTTTTTCTTGCTCTGCCTCATTACGTTTTACAGACAGGTCAAGGGAATATCTAGCATCAGTAAATACTACTTTGGCAAGAAAGAATGAACCATAAGTACCTAAGTTTTTCTTTTTAGAAAGCAATAAATAATGTTGTACAGGTTTTTACCATCTAAATGCTGCACTGTAATTCAACAGTCTTTAATATATCCACATTCTCTTCTGACAGTCTCTTCCTAATAGCATTAAAAGTAGCAGTGAAAATTATGTCTTTCAACATCCTACTTGAAAATGAAGAGGAAAAATTAAGACCTGGGACTTAAGTCAGCAGAACAGAGCAAGAAATTTTGATGTGAAATGTGGGGGTGAGGGTCGGGGGGGTGTGCACTTTGGAGGGACCTGGAATTTATACATCGGTATCAGATTCCAGAGGTGAAATTTCACCTACGTACATTGGGGGAGGGAGTATATGCAAGTACATTCCTAAACAAACAGATAATTTTTAGACATACCTGTGTCACCTTATCCTAGACCCTTCTTCTAAAGCCCAGACCGTATGCTAGCCACATCTTGCTGACAACAATATTTATGCTGCTTGTTAGTACCATCCCATTCAAACACCTTCCTGGACTCCATTCAAACACAGGCTGGGCAAGTTGTTGTATGAGCAGCAAAGCTAGTCAGGAAAGCCCAGTGTCCTGGGAAGGTGTCTCGCCCCATCCCAGCCTCCCTGTCGCAAGGACCCTGGTTCTCCTTTCCTTCCCTGGCATCCCCAGCCATCCTCTTGTCTTCGCTACCATGGTGGGCCAGGGCAGCTTGTGCTGGGGAGTGACTGCCCTGCAGACTGCTGCTGGCTTGAGTAGGTTTTCCCTGGAGAAGAGAGCATTATCACGGGCCTTTTCTCTCTTTCCTGCTAGTAGTTTTTTTAAATTTACAGAAAAATATTTTGAGATATCTACTGCTGTGACACAGATGAATGGGCAGATGGAACCAGCTTTCAGGTTCAGAAGCCACAGGGGGAAAGGGGAACTAACAAGACAGTGAACAATCTCACGGTTTCTTTGGAAACTAAAAATGAAAAAAAAAAGTTAGGGAGGGAAAGGAGGAATAGACAGAAGATTGATGCTTTTCTCTAGCGCCTACTTAGCTGGCGGAAGTCTTGGGAGAGGCAGAAAGGTCTTTGTCTATGTTACCGACTGCAGCCACAGAGGAACTGCAAGGGGAAGCCTCAGTCATAAATTGGGTGGTGTTTCAACCCCTGGTGGTTTCCCAATGAGGAAAAGAAAAGGCTTGATATACTAATGAATACTGCACACTCAGACTAGGCAAGGCAAAGATACTGCAAATAACAAAATTTCAAGATGGACAGAATTTCAGAAGATCCAAAGTGACTCTTAACCATAAATGCAGTACAAATTTTGTGTCCTCTTGAGTACTTTTGAAGATCTGTGTAATCTCTCCTTGCTTCTTTCCAGCAGGAATTTAGCAAAGAGCTCCTAAAGCCTGCTATTCCTTGTGTTTGTAAACTGCAGGCTTTGCTTACTTAGATCTCAAATGAGAGCATATCAGAGGATCCCTGACTTGGAGAAGAGCTGGACAGGCCTCAACAAGAGCTGGTCTGTTTAGATTTAGATGCTAGTTAAGTACTGGACCCACCAACCAGTAGGCACAGTTGTGACCATCACTTCCATGCATTCAGCTCCACTTTCATCTATATAAAATGGAAAGCTGACTGCAGCTCTATCAGGAGGCAGTTTTGATTTAAGAAACAAAGACGTAAGAATGCGTAATTTGGTTAATTAGCCTTCCACATGTGTGAGAGCCAAAACCCCAAATCCCTTCAGCTGAGACCAAGCAAGGCAAATTCCCTTGTTATGGGTTCTACCATGCTAATATGTGGTGTTTTCATTCCTAGCTAGTAAGATGATTTGAGGTAGCTGCTTAGGAGTAACCTGACCATACCAGCTATTTACACAGCCAGGAGGCAGAGATAAGGAAAATTGTGTTTTCTGCAGGAAGAGTTCTCCCTCCTTGGGCTGATAAGCTTTACCATAGGTTAAGGGGCCAGAGATATTTTAAAAGCAGAAGGAAGACTCCTTTCTGCACAATTACTGAACAGGGACACTGTTTAAGGAAAAATATCTATCCTCTTTACAGATGTGTCCCATGCCAAAGTTAAGCCAGCAACTCTCCTGTTGGCCCTCTCAAGAGAGTTCAGGCCAAGCAGTGCCAGGTACCACAGGTATTTATCGGGACAATATTCTGTTGCCAGTCAGGGACCTGTTTCGTGACCAAGGAGAAAAGACTGACCCCTCTTTCTTCAGGAGTGCAAGAGAAGGTGAAGGATTTGGACAAACACAACATTGAACCCACAAAAAGAGAGATCATCCCAGGTACCAGGCAAACATACATGTATGTGCAACCCTTAGCAACTATTTGGCCTGACCTATGGCAATATAGTCCCTACACAACTCACGAGCTAAATCTGCACCCATTTCAAACATCTCCTTTCAGGTTTTGTCTGATTCCTTGTATCAGTTTAACCGGAGAGACTGCCATACAATACATACGTTATTTTACGTGGCTCTGACAGCATCTCTTATCTTTTTGCCCTCTCCTTTCTCATCCAAGGGCCCAAGGCAAACAGCCCCTCTTGCAGTTGTAAAGCCTAGCACAAAGCCCAGAACCACACACTGTTGTTCACATGCTCCAGGGACACAAATATTCATTTTTGGGGGCTATTCTTCCCGCACAAGTACTTTTCCTGCTTCGACCTCAAGCAATCTTAATGCCTTTGCAAGAGTGCTAGCTGCTGACCATGTAAGCAACAACAGCACATAGGGACTTCATCCATAGCAAGGCAGGGAGAGCTGAAGGTGAACATTTTGTCTAGGAAAAGAAACACAGTACAACTGGGTTTACAGCACCATCACCAAGCACACAACCAGGAGCACTGGCTCAAAGCCAAGGGCTTTATATAGCAGCATGAAACCTCCAAGGCCACTAATCACTTCCCTGATAGCAGCTGTGCCACCACTCCCTTTTACAGGAAAGTCAACAGGAGGCACGTGAGCAGTGACACAGACTCGTGGCTGATTTACAGCCAGGAGGAGATCCACATGTCCATGGCTGGGACACCTCAGAGGATGGCACCAGACCTTGTGCTCTGAGCCTACAACCTAGTTCAGGCATGCCTCTTGTCACTGGGAGGAGGATGTGGATGATGTCAGGAACAGAGAGACTCCGTTTGTTGGCTAGGCAGTCCTCCCCACGGCTCCCCAGCCCTCAGACCAGCCGCAGAGCTGCTCCTGACGTCAGTCAGGAAGCACAGGTTTTGAAACAGTTTGTGTCCATGTTGCCATGCCCAGTGAGCTGCTGTGCTGGTTGGCTCTGAACAGACGGGCTTTCAGCAAACACACTAGTCCTTTTTGCCTCCTGCCAAAAAGGCCAGCAGCCAGGATGTACATGTCAGCTTTCTGGAGCTTGCAAGCTTTAGGAAATGAGGATTGAGCTTCAGTAATCAGGTTTTAAGGGTGGAGGGGCCACCCCTGCAACAGTAGCACCAGCAATG